CCTTTAAACTCACAAAAAAAAAGGTCTTTAAAAAACTATGAAACAATATGCTAAAAGCATTTGAAGAAAGTTCTTTTTCATTAACAGTCCCCCTTCTAATTTTATATTTATGTCTTTAGCCAACTTTTCTTAGTTCCATCAAACTACGTTAAGCTAAGTGATTGACGGAATAATTCAGGGGTTGGCATAGTAGACCATAGCAGATCAAATCCAAGCTAATTTTTTTTTTTATTTTTGAAGGGTTGTAAATAGGAAAAAAAAATGTGACCAAGTCCCTGTGTGGCCCTGTAAAACCTAAAATTCTTACTATCTGGCCTTTTATAGAAAAAGTTTGCCAACCACTAGAATAATCATTCTGTAATGAGTACAATTTAAAGAGGTTTTACTTTCACACTGTAAATATGAAATTGTCTTCTCCATTCCACTAGTGGAGTAACTAATTTACAAAACATTTAAGCGGTAAGTTGAATCAAAATGTTTACTGGTATCGTAGCTAAGTATACCTAGCTTTGGCATGTACAAATATCATTTTGCAAACTAGAGTATTCAAGAAATAGAATTTCTAGTGACTTAATTTCTGTTTCTTATTCTGCTTGGGGAGCTGAAAGTTACTGTCAATTTGGGGTTTTCCTTTTTCCCAGGGTTGAGTCTCATTTTGAGGGAACATCTGGCTCCTGAGTACCACATTTTTGTGCTTCTGAAACAGGCCCTACTCCTGCTGCTGGGTTTCACATCCGTCTCACCTCTAAGGCAGCAGCTCTGCTTCCCGTTCACACAGTCCCTGCGGGACTCTCCCCACTGTTACTTCCCTGCCACTGTCTAAGGCCATTACAGATTCACTAAGCAGAAGCCAGTTTTTTTCTGCTGGGACAATTTATTGCCTGTAATTGTGTTAGCATGTGCTTATCTCAAGAGCCTTGAACCTTTCCTAAGCTCAAGGAGATATCACTTTTAGTCTCACTGCACATTCTGTAATACTTCTTTTATAGTGTTTGTGACATCTTAATTTTCTACTTTTGAATTTATTTGCCCCGTGGCTTCTAAACACCTTTTGAACATAGGCACCATTTTGTTTTTTCATTTATGTGTCATCATTTTATAGCAATTTCTGACACATATCAGGCACTGAAATATTGGTTCAAGTAAAAGAACCACTAAATCCATTACAGAAGGCTTTCAGACTTGACTATAGTTTTGTCAGCATTTGAGTTATTGATACATCAGGAATAAATTTACGTTTCTCTTAAATTACTTTTACTGGGCAGACCCATTTTCCTTTACATCAATTGAGATTTTGTATATTTACTTACATGCTTTTGAGGTTTTCACAAAACTTCAAGTAGATATAGTAGAAAGTGGAGCTGGAACTGGTGAGGATGGTAGATATTACCCAATTTGGTCCTGCTCTCCATTAAATATTAAAATAAGATCCAGAACAGAGTCTGGTAAATCACAGATGCTAGCTGGATAGTCACTGAATGAACTCTGCACAAGTGAAAAAGTCAGTTTTTCAGATACAAATTTTGTTTTGGTCCACAGACACTCTAGTTCTTGATATGGAAATCAAGCAGCTCTGAGCATCTTCAAACTTCCCCAAGTGTTAACTTTGTTACCTGCTCATCTGGTATCAAAAATAAATGTCTCTTACGGACAACAGAAGACATTGCTTTACACATATACTTGTCGGAGAACCCGACCTTGACTTGAGTAGCATCCCGCAGCTTCAGTGTAGAGCTGGAGCAGACGTCTGAGTCTATGGGGGAACCACAACAACTATGTATCTGACCACACAAGCTTAGTTCTCCAGAGAAATGCTACCCCTATGTTGTAACTTATTATTTATTTGTTTACTGATTTTGTTTTAAAAATAAAGTTTTCACATTCCCTGTGAAATCAGATTTTGGCTGGTTGTAGAAATGCTTCCTGAGAACTTGCTAATGAAGGAAATAAAGCAGCCTTCAATAAAACTTATAAAATCAAAATGTGTGGGGAGGAACCGAGGGTGGGTGAGTTCCCAGAACCAGGATGTAGTTTAATTTGTATGTACAAATCGGATACAATGTGTCAGTTGGGATTGAAACACAGCCAGTCTGTTTAGGACGGTCCAGGGAAGCACAACTCAATCTGGGAAACTTGGGCAATTTGGTCACCGTGGACGTGGTCTCTGCTGAAGAAGGGTGGGTATTTAATAAAGCATCACCACAAAATGCCTGGAATCACCCTCATAACTACCTATCTCACATCACTTAAATTCTCCACTCATCAAGTAACTTTGTTTATGGTATCAGGAGAGGATGTGTTGTGGTTTGGAGATGTGAGCATTCCAGTTACTAGAATATTTTTTACTGTAGCTGTAACTTGATAAAGTGATTTATGTATTAATATATTTATTATATGATATCAGACACACACATTCTTAATAGATACTTATAATGTCAGTTTTTGCCAAGGGCCCTCGGCTACAAACTCCTCGACCAAATTCTGAAAGGACGGTGACCATCTTCTTCAGTTCTAGAAACTCAGTAGCCACCATCCAGTGTCTGGAATACATAAAAGCTCAGATATTAGCTGAGTAAATAAATTATGTACAAAGCCAATTTGTGTTGAGACTTCTTAACAGTCAACCAGATTTTCCCTAGAGATCCCAAATTCTGTCTCCTTGCATATGCTTATTTAACTTTAGCAAATACATTTGTTCATTGTTAACATTCTTTACATAAGAATTCATAATGTAACATCCTTCTAAATCTTAGTGCCAGAAAAAAAATGAGCTACAGGACACTTGAGTGCTTCCTTTTAACAAATGTAAAACTTCATTATCCATCAGCTCCTTTTTGTGCTGTCAAGAAATTCAGAGATATATTTACATAAAATCACGACAAATATTTTATCTTCTGATAAAATTTATCCTTCAAATAATCTGATTTTTTAATCTTTAATATATTTGTTATAGATTTTAATATATTGCTGTTTCTAAGTTTATCCATTTTAAATATTATCTAGTGATTTCTTATGATAAAAGAATTTCACTTGCGACCTTTTCCCCTTGTTTCCCCTCATTTTCCCAATTTCCTAACATTGTTATACAGGTTGAGTGTCCCTAATCCGAAATTCTAAAATGCTCCCAAATCTGAAACGTTTTTAGCATCAACACGACACTCAAAGGAAATGCTCATTGGAGCACTGCAGATTTCAGATTTTTGGATTAGGGATGCTCAACTGGTATGTATGTATTTTGCAAATATTCTAAAATCGAAAACACTTCTGGTCCCAAGCACATTTTGGATAAGGGATACTCAACCTGTATTATCATGTTAAATGCTCTATTGATTATATTACCTCTGTAGCTTTAATAAACTGCGGGGGGGGAAAAAAGTTTTTTCTCTATCCATTTTAAGATTCCACCTGGGAGTCTGTAACAAAAGACAGATTAACAGGAGAAAAGCATACAAATGTATTTAACGTAAGTTTTTTGTGACACAGGAGCACTCATAAAAAGGCAAAGACTCAAAGAAGCAGCTAGAATTGAATGCTTATACACTGAATTGGACAAAGAGTAGTAAATTATGAAAATGTGACAAGACAAGGAGACTTGGGCTAGGGCAGCTAATGGTGGAACAGTAACTAGGAAGATAAGGGTTAGTTTAACAAAGTTTGTTTATACAGACTTTTTTTTTTGGCCCTGGTAATATGAATGTTAGTTTCCTTCTGGTACAGGGAGGACATCTTCCATGCGGGAGTTTTATCTGTTGCTTCTAGAAAGAAAAGGGGGAAGTCAGAGAGTGCCCTTGCACCTGCTGTTTTAAGTTCCCTTAGCTCAAAATAATTCTTATGCCAAAATGGCATATTTTTGGGTGGCATATTCTACCATCCTTCAATACTCACACTCCCTCTACCAGAGACACTCTCTCTTGATTTCCCTCTTCTCCTCCTTCTCCCTCCCCTGGTAAAATGAGGATATTAACACCCTTTTCCCTTTAGGTCTCCTTTCACCCTGCTCCTTCAATCTTCCAGCTGTTATCAATTGTCTTTTTACATGGTCAGGGTTGATACTTAAATTCCATGCTGTAATCAATGTTTACTGTGTATTATCTATGGATTCTAAAACAGTATATTATTTTAACTATGTACGTAGCTTTCACTGAAGAGCTCAGTAGCATATTTTGAAAACATTCTTTTTTGTATCGATTTTCATTTTCCTGGACTCCTGTGTTTCTTTTCCTTTTCTTATAAAATATGCATTTTCTCACTTCCTTTGGTATAGTAGTACTGAGCTAGAAGTCAGTCCCAGGGTCCTCATTTTGTC